TTCTTTTAAATTTATTATATTGTATAAAAATACAAATAATTATTTATTTGAAAAAAAATCCATTTATCACATACACACATAATACACACGCACACATATTAACTTGTACGTGTGAATTATTATTTTAAAAAATGAAGAGAGAAAGAGAGATTTCAAATATTTAAAATATTTACATAGAAAATTAACATTTTTACTATCTTTTAAGGTATTAACATTTCTCGAAATAACTTAATATTTCAATTTACTGTCTCTAATAATAATATAGTCAAGTCGCATTACGACAATGGATTTAACAAAATAAACAAAACAAAAGCTGTCGGATAGTCTGGAGCACATACATACGGTTTCATGTTTATTTATGCATTAACTATTATCTTTGCATACTGGCTTTTGCGTATATGCACTTAAAATTGTTTACACAACCCCAAATGATGTACCACTTATGCTTCTAATGCACACGATAGTGCTTCTCTATGTATCAGCGTTATCAATAGCTCTTGTAAAATTAGATTTGATACGATATACCTGTTTACTTTGCAATCAAACGCTTCAATTCTTCATTAAATCTTTGCTCGGCTATAGTACAAAATGCACTTGGAATTTCTCTTAATGTAGTACGAGAAGTACTTCTTTTATTTTAAATTAAAACGGCGCTAAATAAAAATAATAATTAAAACATCATATATAATTATCACAAAATAATAAAAAAGTATAATAAAACTTTATACAAATATTATAATTTTAATGTTTATAATATGAGTTAAAAGAATTGTATTTTTCATATAGATTTCACGGAATTGTAATTTCATTACTCTCTCTCTCTCTCTGATTTTCAGATTCATGAAATTATCATTCCATTGATTAATAGACGGTAATCCTCAATCAAAAATTTACGCGTAAATTATTTACTATATTAATGAAAAAAAAAACGAATTATTATATAACGAATAGATTTTATCATCCCTAAACTATCTTATATCACCTGAAGTATTATATTTTACAATGATTTCGGTGCATGTTATACAAGATTTGCGTTTTAATAAGATTTTAATAAGATTTTCTTTTGGAAAAAATACATGACAACATCTTTACATAGATATGTATATACGAAGCAAGACACTTTTTTTTATTGACGAATCAACTATTTGAATTATTCATACAGCGGTTAAAAAATAAATTTCTGATATAGCAATGCTTTTAATAGCGTTGAAATGTGGCAGTGTCGTTTTTCCAAGGGAAAAATTAATATATGTATTTTATGTGTATACACACACACACACACACACACACAAATAAATAAATAAATAAATATATATATATATATATATATATATATATATAATTACGTGCAAATAATAATTATCCTGAAAGGAAAACCGGTAAATTTGATCCGGTCGATCGATACTTTCCGTGGCGCTCGTAATTTGCTATCGAGCTTTAATTAAAAATCGATTTTTGCTTCCATGCGCGAGATAAAAATGTCGGCAATTTGTAGTTGAAGAATTCTAGACTGCTTCGGCCAGCACGAAAATTCAGTTCATTGCTGTTTATCAATACATTGATCGTTTTAATTGGATCCGATTGAGAGTAACACGAATCATACTGTTTGTAGTAGAGTATTGTACGTAGTGGAGTCAATTATGCTCGCCGCGTATTCGCGGATCTGGCAAACTATAGCGAAATAAGCAATTCGCACGAAGTGATTATCCGCAATGGATGGCATTTGCAATTAGGCTATCTAATTTCGAATGTGGCGCACCACGATTGGATGCATGTGGAATCATCATATATGTAGATTACTCCACTGACCAGGGATTATTGTGAGTTGAGCAGACTTTTTATGCACATATATTAATAATATTTACGTGATTATGTTAAAAAGAGATGAGACAAAATATATATTATATATTTATAGATTTAAAGTACATGTGTCTCAAGATGTACATATAATACAAAAAAGAAAACAAAAAGAGATTGCAAATTATTTAACGCATTTATTAATAAACTTAAGAACAGGAATTTTGAAATAGTTTAGAAACATTTGTTTAATAAATAAAATTATATCTATGTTATAAATTTTGCAGTAAACTTGTCTTTTGACGCAATAAAAAAGGAAAATCATTAAGAATTTTTAATAATTTGAGAGATAAATTTTTAATTAAGAATTTTTTTGTCACATTGATAAATTTCTTTGATAATTATGAACAAAAAACTGTTCGAAATTTGCATGAATATTTCGATCGCTCATGAGGCGCTAAAATATATAAATGTAATCCTTTCTTTTTCTTACATTTAAAAGTTTATTTCTGATACATTGAGAATAAAGCCGTGCGAATGTTTATACCGAAAAAGTAGCATCGAGTCATCGTCGTTGGACAGATAGCATGCTTGACAGAAAAAAATGTTTCTTTCGATGTCGAGAGGAAAAGAAATTGGAAGAGATACAGAGAGAGAGGCTGAAGAAAAAAATGAGAAAGTGAAATTGGTGAATGATGGTGTAGAAGATTAACTTGGCTTTGTCTTGAAATAGCTTTAAACTGCCACAAGTCAAAAATATACCACGCACCGTTTAGTCTAATGCCGGACGGACGGACGGAAATGGAATGATGTTGATAAACAATACAATCTACAAGGAACGTTTTACGAATAATTATAATTAAATTATAGAGAACGTGCCTATATTTCACACCTAAAACTATCTATACTTATATGTTATACAAATATTTTCTTATATATTTCTTTAAAAGATATAATATTATTATTTTTTTCGTTTTAATATTAACTTTCAATTATTGACAAAGAATTAAGTTAAGAAGATTTAATATCATTATAAAATTACTCCAAAGTTAGCACAAAGATACAAGTTTAAATTACTATCAAATTTAAATGATAAGTCAAAATAATTCATACTTAAAAATTGAAAGTATTATTATCTAATAATTTTACATAAAACTCTTTTCATAAATGTAATATATTTTATATTTTAGTATAACATAAGAAATATTTGTTAAACTTTCTTAAATTGCAATCTCTAATAAAATTGTTTTATTACAATTTGTTAAAGATAATGCATTCACTTTAATAGAGATAAAAACTTATTGAGATATAAATACATAGATACATCTCTATAATTGCATTAATTTATTAAAGTAAAATCTAAGTAAGAATTAATATATATATAGAATCATATATTTTCGTTTGATAAAATATATTATAGATACTTTCGACGAAAAGCTGCGAAACTGTTTTTGTTTTTGAAACTGAGATTGTTATCTTTTTAGCTTATAGCTAAGAGTATCTTCTTCTTAATCAACATCGTAGTTTGGAGTTCTATTCTTGTTTGCACGTTTTGCGAATACGTATCTTCTGGGAATTTGCTTGATATATCGCGAAACAATATAAGTGATAAAAATTAAGTCTTATAATTACTTAATTGATTTGTGTTCTGTCTTCTTAATTATTTTACTTTGATTAGTTAGGGATTGGAATCAGTTAGAATTCGCTAATAAAATTATTGTAAAATAATTAATATAATTTCTGTTTTTCTCTTTCAAATTTTATGTGTAAGAAATAAAAGGAATAATTAATTTCTTTTGAAATTAACTTATATTTATTTAAAATAGTGACTCATTTTATTAAAATAGTGATATAGTATTTTTCGCAAGCACGCTGACTATGTAAAATGAACTACGAATAAGCAAGCAGGTTAAGCAATTTGTTATGCAAAGCAAAGACGATAGATATCTAGCGTAAGATATAGTGCCAAGGTGCAAAAGTAAATGTATCGCGATGATAATTTTTCTGAAATGATTTAAAATTGCAGTCCTTTCGTGAAAAGAGATGAGTCAGCTTTCGCCAATTTCATCATCTATTGCTAGAACTTAAATAAGTTAGTGCTTAAAACAAATATCATGACACATCATTCGGATCAGTTTACAGATAGTGACGTGGTGATTCAATAATAAAATCATATTACAAGTTGTTTAACAAACATTTTCTTAATTGGAGAGTATTTAAAATTATTTTATGTATGCAAAAAATATTCATAAAAAATTAAGCAAAATCTAAGATCCCCGATTGATATTAAGATCAAGATAATATTAAAAGATAAAAAAATTCTGACGTGATTATACAAAAGATAAGATAAATTTTGATTTTTTTAACAATTTATATATGCTTTAATTAAAATTCATAATTAAATGTTCATTTGATAACATTCAATTTTAGAAAAAACTGTGGCACGAAAAAGCATGAATATTGCATATTAATAAATAACAGTGTTCATTCAACAGATTATGTTACATAACGATTAATAACGATTTGTTTCTTAATTTTTCTTTTTTTTCGGAAATTTATTCTGTTTATTTAAAATTATTAAACTTGAGAAGATTTTATTTTGAATATCTCTGTAACAATTTTGAATGAATAACTAAGTAGATAGACTAATAGATATTATTTTAGATGTATTTTTCACGCTAAACGTAAAAAAGAATGTTATTATAATAACAGAATAATGATTTTTCTTACTATAAAATTGAAAATCATGCAAATTTAGTGCCAATCAATCTAATAATGATGAAGTTTTCATGAAAACTTCATCATTATTGACAGCATGTCATTCATGAGGAACTGAAGCGTGTTAAGCATTTTTGCTATTTTCCTCTTCTTTGTAAATTCTCTGTACTATTTCTTTTGACTGCCTCTCATACGCAATAATATTATACTTTTAAGTTTATTAAGTTTGGACTTAAATAATTAACTTATTGCACTAAACAAATGTTATAACGTATAGTTCTTCGCTAATTCTGCGGATTTTATAGATTTCCGGTAATTTCTCCTGCGAAGCATTTTCCGAAAAGTTCGCGAAGCTGGACACATGCCAAGTTCGTCGTCATCTTCGTGGTCTTTGTCGTGGTCTTCGTCATGGTCGGTGACGAGGGCGTGCAAGAGAACTGACGCCAACGCCTGGTGTCGCTTCTCACCCTGGCGGTAGTCGCGACGCCGGGCTGCCTTCAGTTCAGTGCGCCGCGCATCCTCGGACGTGCATCGTGTCGGTAAGTTGCGCTCGCGTGCGAGCGATCGAGACATGTGATTCATCGCGCGATTGCGGAGAGCGACGAGGAGAAAAAATGACAAGAGGAGATCCTATACGATCGTCGACGGCCTAAAGTGGTAAAGCTCAATCACCATACGCGGCAAATCGACCCGGGAAAATCCTTAAATGCGTGAGAAGGAGAAAGAGAAAGATGTGAGAAGACGTCGCGATATCTCGGAGCAATGTCTCGAGACGGAGAAAATGCGCAAATCTCTGCGATATAATCACATATGATTAAAGGGCAGAGGTTGTAGGGTATCGAAAAAGGGGGATAATTATGGCCACGACTAAGCTCCCGGAGGAGTGAGATATGCAGGCAAACATATGGGGGGACAGATCGGCGGAGATGTTTATGCTTCTCCTCTAGAAGATTTATGCGAAATGATCTATAATTAATCGTGGGGAAAAATAAGTCAACGAAGAGAGAGTGGAGTGATTATCGCCCGTAGAGAAAAACCGATGCTTCTACTTTGAAATTCTCGAAGGGTGTACAATGTCTCGCTATTTTACCCTTAACCCTTCCGTAGTGAGTTAAGTAATATTGAATAATTAAATAAAAAAGTATCATTTGTATTTTAACGGGCAAAACTAATTATATTTTTATTTATATTTGTTTTTGTGATGATAATAAAATATATCCTAGATATTGTATATATCAAGAAATAATATTATTGTTTTATTTTAAATGTATGTATATTAAATGGTGTTTCAAAAACATTGTTTAAATTTGTTACGTATTCATATTTTATTTAAACTTGTGATATTTTGAAAATTATTTTTATATATATATTCTAGAGCTTTAAAATAAATTATTCATTTATTTTATTTTATTTTGTCTAAAAATAAGAATCTTAAAGTTGGAAAAAATAGACAAAAATGCTTTATAAAGATAAATAGTTTAACATAGAATCTCGGAAGTGCTAATAAAAAACAGGTTACTAATTATAGTTTAACATATTCTGAGACATTATACAAACATGATATTATTTATTTTGAAAATTTTGTATCTAAATTAAATCTCAATATGCAATAATTAGGAAAAAATTGTAAAATAAGGGATTGTTAATCGTAGCAATATTGAGCGATTCGATTAATATTTTACAACAATCCCATGTACAAAAATAATAATTATTAAATAATATTTAGAGTAATTATTATTATATGTGCAAAAAAACAGAGAAATATAATTAAAAGATTATTTAAGTTATTTTTATATTATAGATGTGATTGAATTAAAATAATTAAAATAGTTAAAATAACTAAAATAACTTAATTTATTATTGAATTATTTGTTTAATATGTCTGTATTATAAAAATCCAAGGATCATTTATTAAGATAATATGATATAATAACTAAAATAATGATAAACTATGAGTAGCGAATGTATCAAAGTTTCATAATGATGCTGAACAACAATATCTTTTACAACAGTTTATAAATTCGATGTCATAATGTAGAATTATGTTGTGAGTATGTAAAGCGCTTATAACTATCGATTTAACACACAATATCGATGAGAAGTTTATAAGACCTTTCTTTACTCCTCTGTCAGTAAGAAGAGATAAAGCTTGAGTTTCTCTACTTAGTCTTGCTTATAATAAACGCGTTCTTGCATGCATACATTATCTCATGGAGGAAAGGGCAGTACTTTAAATAAAGTTTGTTTTAATATTACACATTTATTAAAGGTATTTCTTTATCAATATTATTTTATAAATGAGAGTTTTCTATTTGCATTGTGATAATAGCAGAGATAGAATAATCTTATTATCTAGAAATAAATCTTTCATTTTCTTTTAATTTGCAAAAATGATAAAAAAATTAAGAATAAAAAATAAATAAAGAATATAAACTAGAACAAAATAATTATTAATTAATTTATTTATATGTCCCTTTATTTATTGTTTGTTGTTTATTCCAATTAGTGGATACAGATTATAGAATATATATCTCTCTTTCTGTTTAGATATAGTAATAATTATAAAATAAAAGAAAAAATATAATATTATTTCTTAATTAAAAGCATAAACCATTAAATATATATTAAATATATTAGATAGAATTTTTATTTTTTTATAATCTATCAGAGTCAAGAATTAATATTGATTTTGTGTTTAAATATTATTGAACATATTGTAATTTTATCTGCATGAGAAAATATCTGATATTCTGTAAAAATATTAATTTGCCATTAAAATTACACAAATTACGTTGTATTATTTTATAAAGTTATAATGCATATGCATAATATATTATTGAGATAAAAAGATAATTATAATAAACTTTCAACAACAAGTTACATTTAATTTCCTTAGCACTCCTTTGAGCTTGAAAGTAAGTTACATGATAGACATAAACTTCATCGAAGAGAAAACGTATTAATAAGGTGTCGTGAAATTGTCTTGGTACAGACCAAGCTTACTTTTGTCGATACTTGATTATAGTTACCGGAACATCTTCGCGCATCGATATCTTTCCGATGTATCCCGTTCACTGTTCGCTAACTTTGACAGTTTCGACAGCCTATATAACTGTCCTTTGATTGCATCGTGTTCCGTGAAACTTCGGATGCTGCCAACGTACTTGACATTGTCATTGATTTTTATCTTACTTATTCTTAATCGGAAGCAGTTTTAAATTTCCTAATCAAGTTTGGTTAATTATAAGTTAAACACTCGTCCAAATTAATTTCAACATTTATATTTTATATCTTAATTTGTGGAAGAAGATGAGAAATAAGATAAAAAATAATAAACAGTTTACTTTTTAATTGCAGATTTTGAGATTTATATTACTTTTATAATTAATTATTTACAATATAATTACATCAAGTATAAATAATTTATGTCTTTAAAATCATGATCGTAACACACCAGATAATCGAGAGATTAATCGATGGGGTTGGTCTAATTAGTATACCAGGTTACTTCCTGTGGGAAGTACCGTCGGTAAAATAACGACATAGATGCGAGAAGAAGAACAAGCATAAAAAGGAAAATATAAACACCAATCACATTTTACCCCTTTTATAAAAGGCATAATTTGACGTGGCCGTAATTATTTCGACCATTTCATTCGCACGCATGTGGCCAGAAAAAAATTCAACTTCCTATATTCTATTTGTAGAATCAAGGAAAGCGTGAAGATTTCTTTTATACGAGATAGGATCCGTTGATGTGACGTCGTGCCGTCTTACGCAGTTCGTTCAAAGACATCTTTCTCCGAGTGCACACTTGGTACTTTTGCTGATAATCGAATTTTACGAACGGATATTCCAACTACATTCAGAAAGACATTTCGAAAATTACACATGACATTACGTTTTCCGCGAAGAACTTTATAAGAAATAACTGTGCCAAAACGTCTGCAAATGTTTGTGTTTGTAAGTGTGAAAAAACAATAATAAAAATAGTGCTCAGTATAAATTGAATAATACAAGTTATAGTACTTTGTGATTAAAAATATGTGAAATGTCAGAACAATATTTTAGCAACAGTCGAAGATAATTCACGGAAAAGGAGAAAATTAATTAAAATTTATTAAAATTTCTGGAAATCTGGATAAAAGAGATAATCGGAAGATAATCGTCAATATATATAAGACCAAATTTCCGGATCGTAGTCGGTGACTTTAAGTAGAAGAAACAGTAATTTTGAGAAAATGGAGAACTCGCTTCGCCGGAAGACTAGATCGGCTTCGATTTGCGCTCCGGGATTTTCGAGTATGGAACAAATGTTGGAAGCTATGCCACCCTCGGGAGCTCGTGAAAGGGAGAGAGGGGAACGGGAAAGGGACAGCGGCAGTGGAACACCGGATGGCAGTACACCTACGAGAAGACGAAGACCAGCTACAAGATCCCAGAGCGCTCGGGTTTCCGGCGGAAACAAAAGCATTCGTCGCCGTGCCGCTGCTCAAGGTAACGATAGTGATGGCAAAAATGGGAAACAAATAATATTGCATAAGATTTTGTTTTCTAATTAAGATTTATAATTTTTAGGAGAGTTTAAAGTTTCAAAAAAATTCGAAAGTTTAAAATTATATAAATAAATAAAATTAATCGATTAGTTTGTTCGTAATTGATAACTTTTCTTTTTTTTTATGAAAATTTGAAATTTATCGATTATTCTGCTTGTGAATAGTTCATTTCTGCTTTGATTGAGCATTTCGATATTTGAGTATTCAGCTTTTTATCAATAATCAAAATATGAATAAATCTGAGATTAAACCCTTGAGATTAAATCTGAAGGTACATAAAAGTCTATTTTACGCATTGAGTTTGGCGTGATAACTAGGCATGATTTTGAAGGTGCCCCACAAACACGTGAGAATGTCATCGATGACGTACAAACCCTTCTGGCGAAAGAGTAAAGTATAGGAGCTTAACAACGATATTGTATCGGTAACACGTTTAGTTTCGCGTGAGTTCTTGAAATCATTACGACTGCTATTCTCGTATGTGAATTTGGCTAGTAGGTCACTGACAGTCTGAACACGTTTCATCGTGTCACGATGTCTTTGCAAGTTTAGAATCCAGTTAAATTAGCACTCTAGGATGTGTTCGCTTTTCTATATATACGTTGAGAAATAGGAAGATATGTATTAACGAAAAACAAGAATAGTAGTAACATTATTATTTTTACAAAGATGTAAAATGAACAAAAAACGAGACTTAATAAATAATAGATAAACAGAGCACTTTCAATAGTAATATGTTAAGAATTAGCTACGTATTAGAATGTTATTTATTTTTAATATCAAAAATATCTTATTAAGAGCAGTGCAGTCAACTAATATAATATTTTTCAATTATAATAAAAAAATAAATATTTCAATTATTATATCAAATACTATATAATTTTTTAATCTTTTTGTTATTTTAAGAAAAAATTAAGTAGGATGTGTACTAATATATCTCATAAGAATTTATTCAAAATTACAACAAATATTATTGTTAATTCTTAATTATATTTTATATTATAAATTAGAAATATATAAATTATTATTTAATGTAGCGGGAATTGTGAAAATTAATAATTAAATTCTTTAACTACTTCTATCAGCTACTGTCTATTAAACTTAACATTTTAATGAAATATTTTTATTCAATATTTTAATCTCTCTTGGTATATTTGATATATTTCTTATTATTACATATAAAAAAAAAATATATATATATATATATTTATATATGTACAATAAAATTATTAGATTTTTAGATTATGTTTTATCAGTTATTTAGATTATATATTTTCTATCATAAACGTTAAATCCAATTTCGACTTCAAAGGTTATTTTCAATTGCGCTTGCTACAGATAAAAGAGATTTTACTTCTTTGAATATCTAGTAAAATGATGATATTTATCTGCTGCTCGATAAACTTTGCAATTAAGTGAAGCAGATATTCGACAATGTGTTTCACGATCTGAATTCGCTTCTCTCTCTCCTTTCGCGTCATTTAATTTTATTTCCTGACTCTTTTTAAGCTATACTAAATCACTCGGCTTTCCACATACTAGTTTTGCGATGTAATAGATGTAGTATCTCTGAAAAATGTGCTTCGTTCTTTGCTTTACTCTTGAACGTTTACTGAAATAAGCTTGATTGGCACGCAATCAAGAAAAAACATGTTTATTTTCTGTCTCATTAATTATCAAAAGCTTTTTTAAATAGTTTTAACAGTTATTTTTGAATAGATGTTCTATTATAAAATCTGTATATTTTGTGGCATTGTATTATGAAGATATCGATACGTATTTCTGTGAAATTAAACAATTTTTTCACAAAAAGATAATCTATTTACACGCTCTATATGAATATACAATATATACATTATTTTATATAAAATGGATGCACATACAAATAATATGAAAGCAGATAAAAAATATATAGTTATTAATATAATTATTAAAAATTTGGAGAGAGAATATTTAAGTTATGTATATAAATTATATATATACGGCACAATATAAATTATTACATTTTATTTAATTCAATATTTTTCTTAATTATGTTTTACAAAACTTATATTGCGAGACAAAAAATTTTAGCGTAATAAATTTATAGCTAATCAATTTGACTTATTAATATAATTGAAATTAAATTAGCTCATTAATATCAGTTGATATTGATTATTATACTTTGATTGCCTATATACGGTATATAATGTCGCCATTATAATTTGCTAAAGGTGTTGCACATTTTTATAATAAAGCTTGTACATCTACATCCGGTATCGAGTATATATGTACGGCATCCTGCATATGTCGATTTCAGCCGCCGCCCATCATCATCATCATCATCATCATCATGAAGGGGGTATGAAATCGGCCCACTGCAGCAGCGAACCTAAACTCACCGAGAATGACGTCAGTCCGGGGATTAGAAGACGAGGGAGTCGGAGGGGACAGAGTATGCATCACACGCATCAGAGGAAGAGCAATGCCTTCCTGGACGTACCCGATGTCTCATCTCAGATGCCACCGCGGGAGGAAGGCGAAGATGAGGATAGTTACAGACTTCGTAGCTTTAGTCTCACCAGCAAAGGTCAGAAATAACTCTTTTCCACTTGTTGCAAACGTAAACAAGAGATTATACTTTTTATGTTAAAACATCGGAACTTCGACTCTATTTTGCTATGATGGATTTGATAGAAACCCAACATTGGATTTATTAAATAATTAAGAAATAGAGTAATATTGGGGATAAAGATGAAAGAAATAAGATAATTAAAATAACTATAATAACTAAAATGACAATATATCATGCTTTACATACATACTTTATATATGTAAGATTCTAATTATAAAAATGTCGATCATTTTCACAAAATTATAAGATAATATATATAATAACCATTCTTTTTATTGTAAAAAATTTGTTATATATCATTTTATTTAGTAATAAATTTAATTGAGTTTAATATAATTTAGAATCTTAAACGTTTAAAAATCTTTCTCAAAGTCTTAAAAATATGAATATATATTATATCATGATATCGTTTTTTAGATTGATAAATTTAAGAGATGATTTAAATAGTGCATTTTAGGATTTTTAAGTATAAGTGGATTTACAATTTTACAATTTTTAAATCTATAAAATATTTTGAAAACTATTCTAGATTTATTATAAAAGAATTGATAATTACATAAATTGTTGATTTTTTTAAATAGTTTCTTAACGATATATAATTTTGAATGAATCAATTAAACAAATTTATATTCCATTAGCTTAATAAAATATTGTTTATATTAACAGTTGAATATTTTTATAAAGTTAAAATTATTTTATAAAGTTAAAATTATTTAATGAAATATATTTATATTTTACATTCAAAGAGAATTAGCTATATTAATTTATAACAAATATTTTAATAATTGTCTAAAGAGTACGTTCACAACATTTTGATTGAAAATCTTTTGAATAGAATATCTTAAATATTGTGTATATATTTTTTTAAACTTTTTGTATAATTAAAAAAAATAAAAATCAATCTTTTCTTTTATTATTTCTTTTCTTCTTTTTTTTTTATTTAAAGATGTAATTTTTAATATTAATTGTGCTTCTCTAAACTTCAAGTTTTAATTGTAATAAAATAAAATTTATTAGAAATTAATAAAAGGAATAGATCTCATTGATAATAAAAAAAAACTATGGAGAAAAATATATCATAATTAAAACAATATTGTCTTTTTTTATCTTTTTTGTTTAAACAAAATTCTAGGAAATTTTAATCATATAATTAAACATTGCAGAGTTTATTTGGATCATTGTATGATTTCTTATGGAATCG